AGTTGTGCCATCAAATGATTCAGCAGAAAAATCTGACATTAAATTATTTTATGAAGAAGTTCGAGTCTGAAGTAGCAACTCTAAGATACAAAAAATGGTCTCACTCTACGTGAAGCCAGACAGGAAGCACGCCGAAAAGGTTTCTCCCATACTCCCTACTCTTGTAATGTTGCTTTCTCTGCCCCGCCCTCTCCACCTCAAGATGTTCCTACACCCTCGCTTATACCTACCTACTTCCCCACTTCCACTTCTACATTCTACCTCCCCCAGTCAAATTCTTTTGCTACTCTAAAGCCAGACATCCCAATCTCAACTACAGCTCCAATCTGAACTGCAGCCCAAACACCGTCCCCTCTCCCTCCCCGCACTACCCGCAGGAGACAGAATAAACGCCCCCCCCCCTCCTTCTTCCCCTACTGCACACTCACCTTTATCTTTATTCCTCAGACACCAGTCCCCTCTCCCCAATACCCCCATAAGAAAACCTTTGTCTCACAAAACTCTCCAACCAACTCCACTGCAAAAACTATGGAAGATATCCAAAACTATATGCTTGAGACACAAAATTCCACAACTCCTTCCACACTCGAAGTGACTGCCGATATCCATCCCCCTCCTGCTCATATTCCCCCTTCACTTCTCCCTCCCAAATCTAACTGATTTCTCTGGCAACCCCATTCCTGCAGAACCCATCCAACTCTTAATACTTGTGACGGAACTCCAAATACTACCGATAACCATCCTCCCAACACCCATCCTCCTCCTACTAATATTATACCACATCCTCCTACTCCCTCCCAACACAACCCACCCCCCTCAACTCAAACTATACGTACACTCCCTCCCTCCATCCCCTCTATCATTTCCACTCCCTCCTGGATACACACGTGAAACACTTATGTAATTCTCTTACCTAAACCCACCATAGCCTATTCACACAATTTTACCCATCTTAACCTTTCAAGATCACTCTAGATAGTTGACGTATAGCAACTATTACCCTTCAGCCCTCCTTTAATATACTTTCCTATAGTGTTATATGACCTGAGATGTCTAGCACATATATTTTTGCTTTTTTAACCATTAACCATTAACCATTTTCTTTTGCAGATTATTATAAGAAGAAATGTATACATTTTGGTCTGTACTTTTTCTTTCAGCTTTAATGTACTCATTCCATGTGAATAATTGTTTACACTTGTCTGTGCATGGCCTGTGATTGTCAAGCAAATATTTTTACTGCTAATTATAATTGTTTTTTGCAGCTTTCATATTACATTCTAATCTATATTGTGTTGATATTTCAACATACTTCCATGAACTGTTTTTTTTTTTTTTTTTCTTATGTGAATATCGTGCATGTATTTATTGAGTTTATATCAGTTTCTTTCATTTATTCTTTTGTTTATGTGGTTGACCTGCATGCATTCTTTTGTTTATGTCATTGGCCTGCATATTTCTCTTTGGTTTATGTGTCTATCTAGCATATATTGCTTGCATTTATATGATGGCTCTGCATATATGTATTTGGTTAATGTGATTGTTCTGGATGTGTTACTTTTGTTTATGTTATTGTCTAGCATTTATTTCATTGGCTTGTGTGTGCCCTGTTTATATTATTTCTGCTTATGCGATTGTTCAAAGTTATTTTTGTTTATTTTAATGCACTACATATATTGGATGTGATTATTTTAGTGTCTGACATATTTCATTTTTTCTGTGTGTTTGTTTGCTTTTTGTTTTGTGTGTCCTGCATCATACTTGTATAGATATAAAACATTTGCAACACATTGTCATAATATCGAGGCTTCAGTAATATACCATGAATACTCAATAACAAAAAAAAAAAGAAAAGCTGAACGTTTATCTAAAGAATTAATACATAATTCATAAAATTAAGTTTAGCTTTAGTTGTTCAAATGATGTAATAAAAAAGCATGTGGCAATTTTCATGTAATTCGCAACAAAAGCATTGATCTTTAAATCATCGGTGATTCCAAATGATTAGAAAAAGCGCATAACAAATTACTAATGTTTATCACGAGCATAGAGAAACTAAATAAAAAAAAAAACGTATTCGCAATTAAGAGTTATTGCTATATGGATAATACATCCGAGAAATTATAAATTTAGAATAAAGGACTGGCCACAAAATTACATTATAAAATTATAATAGTTACCCGTAGAAACTCACGAATATGGTTGTGCGTCATCTCAATAGATGGCGTTCCAAGGCGCCCATTTTTAATGGTGGATATATGAGCTTTCTCCTTATCCATATATAGTCTTTGCTTTGGTCCCAGACTGCACGTACATGGCATGCCCGGCGGCTTCGGGATATAAATATACACTTTTACACATATCTATACATATATGTGTGTGTGCATATATATCTGAGTGTGTTTGAGTGTATGTGTGTGTCTACACGTGTATGTCTGTAAATATATATATATATATATATATATATATATATATATATATATGTGTGTGTGTGTGTGTGTGTGTGTGTGTGTGTGTGTGTGTGTGTGTGTGGTGTGTGTGTGTGTGTGTGTGGGTAGGTGGGTGGGAGGGGTGTGTGCATATACACATCATACTCACGCATATACACATATATATGTATATATATGTATATGTGTACATGCGTGTGTGCATATATGTGTGGGTATGTATATATATACGTACATACACACACACATTAACTGTACACAAATATATATATATATATATGTGTGTGTGTATATTCATCATCATCACGGAGCTAACGCCGACGGAGGCGCATAGCCGCATCCACCCTTTGTTTATACCTGCGAGGATCCCTCAAGGCAAGTCGCCAGGCAGGGACTCGGCCCATCTCAAGCTCCTCACGACAGGTTTGATCGATCTGCCCGAGCCACGACTTCTTAGGTCGTCCCACAGGCTTCCTCCACCCAGGGCTGTCTCGAACAGAGACAACCTGTGGGCAGGATCATCCTGAGGGAAGCCAGCCAGGTGGCCGTAAAGCCTGAGTTGGCGATCACGGATTGTGCAGGTAACAGGTCCTGTGCCAGTCTCACGGTGTAGCCGTTGGTTGGACACATGGTCCCGCCAACAGTACCCCATGATCCGGCGCAAGGACCTATTACAAAAGGCATCAAGTCGAGACTCTAAGGCGCAGGATAGTGTCCCAGAAAAGGAGGCTATTCTCGCTGCCGGTATCAGCGCCCGAACCATGGGGACCGACAGGCATCTCATAGCCAGCTCGATCACAGCTTGATGCCGCATTGAAGTTACCCAAATATTTACATTATTATTTGCAATGTATAACCGGACGACTTTTTACGTTGGTAAGGAAAAAGTAAACAGAATGAATAATAACAAAGGAACGGAAAAGGATATTGATGCTAGACCCGGTTTAAGAGCATTGCTATTGTTGATGACAATGAATTCAGTACTCATCGAATTCTGATGATTTGTATATATCTACAAATCATCAGAA